TAATTTCAATAATTTTATTTTTTAAATAATATTAATAGATTATTTAATTTTTATTATAAAAAATGTAATAATTTATTTATTTTGTATGTACAATATAGCTGTCAAATCAGAGATCATCATGAGATTATTAATTTGATATATAATATATAAAAACTTTATTGTAAATATAAAAATTATTAATCTTTAAAATATATTTATAATTTATTTTTAGGGTAAAAAATATGGGGAAATAGTATGATGTTTTGTGTGTAGGAGTTGAGGGTAAATTTGTCTTGTGCTATTTCTCATATCATTTTGTCGAGGTTAGTAAATGCATGATTGTTTTTGCCCATGATGTTTTGTAAAAACTTTGGATAAATGCTGACGTGTGAAGTGTAAAGTGGGTGGGATAAATCTGTCAAATCCCCTCTCATAAAGTAAACGATGCCTAATCAGATAAAAAAGAGAATTCAAGGATTTTGTAAGTTAGGCAAACGTTCTACAAAGAGTGTAGTGACAGAGGGTGAAAGGTGGACTATTCCGGCACAAAGAGTGCAAGAGAACGAAAGGAGGAGAAAGATATGACCCATTTAGATCCTTTAGCTACAAGATAAGTGGCTGAAGTACCTTAGTTACCTTTGTTGGCATAAAAAAAACCTGGTGGGTTGTGGTTTCACTGTCTCAGTTAGGCGTGAATAATAATCGATTGAGATGGTGACCACATGAGATGGTGACCACAACGTTAGAACTCTACGAAACAACATTTGCAGAAGTACCTTTCATTACTTGTCCATGAGTAAACAAAACACGGGGCAAAAAATCTCTAAGTGAAGCAATGATGATGATGATGATCAAGTAACGACAAATAACACCAACTAGAATGTCCAAATAGAAAAGTAACACTAACACAAAGTTCAATGAATTGATCAGATTTAAATCCAAGAACTCCCAAATGTTGAAAATGTCAACCTAACCAAAGATGCTCACAACACAAGATGAATAACAGATACTCATAGATGGAGAATAACACAAGGAATATTAGGAAGAACAACGAAATGATGATATTTACTTTCACTGATTCATGTAACCAAATAGGAGTAATGTCTTTGTCCAACTTTTCAGATCCCAATGTCTTCTTTTCTCCCTTTCTTCGTTTTTCTTTTATCTACTTCATCCCAAATACTCTTGATGCTCAGTTCTTTAAAAAATAGCATTTGCAGCATTCAAAAGTTCGAAAGAATTATGATATGCTAAGAAAGAGCAGTAAATAATGCCAGCGTAAATGTGGAAACTCTTGCATGTCGTCAGCCCAACTTGTGTGTTTTTTACCAGTTTTCTATAATTATATTGTTAACAGTTTGTATAGGACCCCTTCCTAGTTCCCATTATGTCCAGCCCTAGTTCCTAGGCCCCATATGACGGTCTAGATTATTTTGTCCGATTATATCCCACCTAGTACTATATAACTCTTGCTTAACCTGACAAAGTTCTTATTAGATCCCCCTAATTGCTAGGCCACATTTCACCACCTAGAGAACAGCTAGTTCACTGTGGCCCTCACTCTAATTGCTACAAGAAACTAACTTTACCGAATGGTCTAAGGTTGATGTGCTTTCTGGTGTTTATATGTATTGTGGAATCAATTCACACTTTCCATCTTTCTTTCACATTTTACTGCCTAGAGAATGGCTAGCTTAATATATGACCCTCACTCCAAATCTAGAAGAAATTAATTTTACTGAATGGTCTGAAGTTGATGTGCTTTCTTGTGTCTATATGTATTACGTAATTAATTCTCTTTCCTTCTGTCTTTCATACGATTGCTAGAATGCATCAGCAGGAGCTGTTAATCGAGCTCCAGAATCACAGCTCCTAGTGAACTATCTCAATCTCAAAGAAAAACTTGAAAATTTGGTGAGTTTGCACTCAGTTCTATTACAAAGTTTTTTTTTGTACGAGTTTTCTCACATTTTCTTTAGTTAATTATTTGTTACTCACCTTCCTCCCACAAATTTCAGTACATTTTTACTACTCCATCATTGTTACTGGGAAGTAAAATTTAGAATTTTTTGCATGTATACTCTCAAAGCTAATAATCACTAGTTTATTGTTTATGGCTCTATATTTTGTTAGATATACAAATTAAATATGTGCAAAAAAGAACTTAAAAGCATAACTTAATCATTATTATTATATTTTATGGCTCTACATTGTTGGTAGCTATAATAAATAAATAAGTGCATACATACTTTATTTGCGGGATATTGTAATAATGAGACCTTATTATGGGATCGGTGACATGGTAATGTATAAGCACGTTTCTTTCTTCCAGCAATCAAGAATCAGTCAAACGGCAAACTTCATAAAACCGTCTATTAACAATGAAGCTGCCATAAATGCATTGCAAGAGCTTGAGCTGACAGCAGCGAGCATCACTGTGATGCCACAGCCTCAGCCTCAGCCTCAGCCTCAGCCTCACCCCGAACAGTATCCCCTTCAGCAGTCCCAGAACTGAAGAGTGTTGACTTGGCAGCCAAGGAATGTGAAAAGCATCCGACTATCAGAGGAAGGTAAGATATGGGGTCTCTCTAGAGAAGTTGTTAAAATTTTAGGGTTGAGTTTGTTGTGTCAGGGAAGGGGGGTGAAGACTGTAATGTGGGACAAGAACTCTATCCACTTCCTTTCCTTTCATTAATGTTTTATGTTTAGATGAGATTTTTAGGGAGCATAACCTTATGTTGAATGTGTTCGTCTGTGTGCCTGTGTGATGTAGCTGCACCGTATTATGGAGGCAAACTATTGTTATGGGGACTCAGTGGAATTCGTATCAGCATGCAGACATGTTTAACACTTAGGGTTTCGTCATTTATTAAAATTTCCCGTGTATATTTCTGTTTCCAGTTCGATTTAGCCAAATGCCATAAAAAAACGTTGCGTGTGTAATTTGCAGAAGAAATGCTTTGGCTTTGGAACTAGGCATAGTCCATCCTTATAAAAGGTTCAACTTTTGGGCATAGTCAGTTCTTATAAAAGGTTAATTCCAGTCCTATGTAAAGGGGAACTGTGACCCAACTAAAAGTTATACCGTACATGGAAGAGCTATGGGCGGGCAGTGTCAAATTTGGGCTCTTATATTATGCTATCAATTGGTAGTGCCGAATGTGTCCTTGGTTTTGCTAACTTTGACAAAATTAGAATCCCCGGCTCTTAGATAAATTTAGTTGCTTTTAATTATTTTAATATGTTCTAGGGAATATAAGATTGTGGTGTTCAACGAGCTCGATCAGCCTTTTAAAGGCACGAGTCGGACTGTAGACCTGCAAAATAGGTTGGGAGAGTTTTTCGGCGTTACCACTCCGATGAAGTCGGTAGAGAGATGGAACCCACGTATTTCAAGTCAAATCTCAAAAGATTAGCGGTGTTCAAACGACATTTTTAAGATGCATTCATGAGAAGTTCAAGCAATATAGCGTTTGATAAAATAATTTTTTTTAAAAAAAAAACTATCAAGTTCTCGAGTCATCGTTATTCAAGTTCAAATTTCAAATATCCAAATCCAAATTCAAGAAGAGAATAATTCGAGGATATAAATAGAGATTGTATTTGCAATATCGTTTGATCGAAATAAAAACGAATTGTATAAAAGTTATTCTTATTAAAATTTATTATTACAAATTTGACATGTTCGTTCGGTGGGGTATTCTCTACCTTTCATCTCTTCTCTTCAAATTAAGTTAAAGATCTACGATGATGCCATCTCTTCTCTTCAAATTAAGTTAAAGATCTACGATGATGCATGAAGACCTCTTTGAAGAAAATGTAAGAGGACAACTTGTATGTGTGTTTTCTTAGGTGTTTTTGATAATGTCTTCGAGCTAGCATTTTCAGTCTAAGATGCATGGTGAAATTTATTTGTATCATCCATTGGGAGAAGAAAAGAATTTGATAGGCCGAACCGAGATTTAAGATGATCGGGTGTGTGCGCGATGAGTCGGAGCAAATCGGACCTCAAAGAGCAAGCTATGAGCAATCAGAAAATTTACGAGCTACACGAAATCGATTTTGCAGGCTGCTCAAAATTCGCGGGCAAGGCCTTCGAATAGAGCCTCGAATTCGCTCCCGTGAACAAATTCGTTGAGCCATCGAAATTCGCCCTCGTCCTCGCCTCTTTTAAGAACTCAGCAAAAGTCAGGCGAGTGTAACAGTTTCACCTGATTCCTCATTTACCAAAGTGGACTGCTAACGATTCTTGTCTTTCTATTTGCAGTTTATACAACGTGACAGTAAAATAACCATTGATACCAAGCTGATTGTTTTGATTTAATTTTTTATAATTCATTTTGCCCATAAAAATAATTGAATAAATCATGTACAGTGCTACCACCTTGTGTAACATCAAGTCTTCAAGTTGTTTGCTGCAAACATGTTCTGCACGTACTATAAGCAAGCAGCACAAAATGGACAAAATAATCCTAGCTACGTCGAGCTCTCGATTACCTAATTAGGTTCGAGCTTCTTTTTTTTTTTCCCTAATATAGTTCTGAAATTCGGATTAGCACGTATAAATTATGCACTTCTTGTTATGTACATGTAGAACTAATCTATGAGGCTGGTTATTCATGCATCTGCCTGTGGGCGGAATATAAGAGACAACAGAGGAGCAAAGCACAGAATATAAACTAATTAGTCTCTGAAAATTCATCAATTCTATTGTCAATTGTGTTGTTTTATGATCTTTGAGCTATATTCCAAACCACGTTTCCCGAGAGTACGTTATACCTGTGTCGAGCTACATCCTGACATGAATTCGGCAAGTTCTTAGCCTTCATGCTTTCATCAAGGAATGTCAAATGTGGATAATATAGTTCGTATAATGCTCTGCTCTTATTATGGCGACTCACAACCTTCTGTACATCACGTTACATATTTGGTTGAGATAAATTTCAACGATTACGACTGTATGATCCCAAACTAAAGAAAGAAAACCAGAGAGAGAGAGAGAGAGAGAGAGAGAGAGTACATCAGACACTTGCAGTGTTATTAATATTCTCTAGGGAGAACACGGCACCCGATCGACCATCATCCGACACTTGAGAATGTGACATCAGAATGTACATCACCCAGAGATGAAGGCAAGCCAAGTAGACAAGCGACCATGTTCTAGCAGTCGAGTTCCTTCTAAGAAACATAGCACCCACGCAAAAAAGTGAGTCCAGTTGTTGAACTAATGATCCCAAATGCCTTTGTCCTGATTGCATTTTTCCTCTAAATAGAGAGCTCAGGTTCGAATTGGAGATTCGCCATGAACCCAACTCCCGGTCATCCCTTGAGGAGGCACCGGGATATTCAGCTGAATCAATAGCAACCTTGTGTTCGTCCAGCATTCTTGAAACCGCCTAAAAATGAAATTCAGGTAAATCGTCACAAAATTCGATACCTATAACCAAATCAATAGGATGCAAAAATTACCTCAATTCTAAGAAGCAGCATGGCCTTCTCTGAGGAAAGTGATTCCACCTGTTGCAAGACAAGTTCTCTTCAAATAAGAAAAAAAGAAAAAAAAGGAGCACGAAAGATACAACTTATTTACACCACGCATTATAAAAGGAAACATCGAGGGCATGCTACTCATTGTGAATTCCTTCACTCTTAAACAAAAAAATGCCTACTGGCTCGACATCAAAGGGTTTGGAAAATGGACCTGTGCTTGCTTCTGAATCAAGTGGTCAGTCAACTGACGAAGCCTGCGCTTGAGCTCAATCTCTACTTCAGTTGGGTTTTCGATTTCTCTTTGGGTGGTCCCGATGCTTGTTTCTAGAGTCTTTGCCTGGACAATTGTATGGAAGTTAGCAGAAAATTCCTTACATAACTGCATACCACACTTTTATTACTCAGCTATTTCTATTTTTTATTTATTTTTTCTTTTATTCCTTCTCTGGAAGAGAGTCACCTTATCTTGCATTCTTCCCACTTTATCATTTATGAAGGAATATTCTGCCTTGAGCATCCCCAGTTCAAATTCAAGACCTTTTGTAACTCTTGGCTGCAGTTTCATTCAAGCCGAGCTAGTTAAGAAGATAATTTAATACGCTATATACTGACAGCCCTATACAATGTCTAATAAGTAAAACTCACTTTGCCATCATTTTCGTGCATGCTTGATATTTTCCTTCTCAATTCTACCGGGAGTAACAAAACACAGTCAGTAATTCATTCTGGTATTACCAACAACAAAGCCACATCAACCATTCCTCATAGGTTAAACATGTCTATATAATCAGCAGAAAAGCTTAAGCTCTAGCTAATATTGAATGCATGTTACGAGTCTAGTGTAGGAATGGTGTGGTCC